GGCCACACCCCCTGCCCAAGGTGTGACTCTAGCAGGTGACGGAGCAGCCCTTCCCCAACCTGGCACTTCCAAAGGTGGGCAACGGCCGTTCTGTTACCCCAAGATTTCCCGGCTTGGCTCCCTTGAAATTCTAGTGCCTCGTAGGGCTTACTCGCAAGGAAACTGCCATCAGGAAGCAGTTTTGACCACATTCCTAGGGGAAAAGAAGTCAACAAAACTCAAAAGCTTTATCTTTAGGACTCCAACTCCCAGAATTTCCCTAGCCACAGGCAAGGGGGGGATTCTGGGAGTTGTAGTCTTCCCCTACCCAACTTTTCCAGGTTCTGGAAAGGCCACGTCAGGGACTGCCAAAAGGGTGTTCCCCTTTAAACACTCTGTGAAGCTTTTTGGGGATGGGGGTGGTGGGATTTGAGGTTCTTCCAAAGGCAGAGGGCAGGAGGCTGTGGTTCCTGGAAAGGGGACACCCCCACCCCACCCCACCCCCTCACCTTCTCCTTCTCCAGCTGGGCATGGCTCTCCTCCTCCAGAGCCCGGCAGTGTTGCTCCAGCTGCCTCTCTCGCCGGGCCCAATCCTGGCGCTCCTCCTCTAAGGTGGCCCTCAGAGCCTCCAGCTGGCGCCGCTCCAGATCCCGCTCGGCTTCCAGGTTACGAACGCGGGAGCGCTCTGCCTCCAAGGTGCATGAGAGGGAGGCCTTCTCCTCCTCCTGTATAGGTGGGGGAGAGCGGGGCAGTATGGCATAGTGGTGAGGAGAAGAACCCTGTGGACTGCCTTGAACTCAGGGAAGAAGGGCAGGCCATAACCGTCAGCTGATAATCAGGGGTGGAGGATTTTTCTATTTACAGTGCAATTTCCAGAATACCACAGAACGCAAGCTGTGAGTTTTTGGGTCCCAGCTCCCACCAACCTAGCCGTTCGAAAGCATGTAAAAATGCAAGTATATAAACAGGTACCACCTATTTAAGTTAAGTCCAGCGGGGTTTCCGCTTGCATCCTGGGTACCACCAGTAATTTGAAGGCTGGACTGGCATCAGGGGAGGTATATACTCACCAGCACCCCTTTCTCTTTGCAGTACTGGCTGGCTGCTTGCTCCTCCCGGCTGAGGGCAGACAGAGCCTGTTTGAGCCTCTCGTCCAGCTCTGATGTTTTCTAAACAAAAGAACCCGAAGAATTATGAGATCCCCTTTTAAAAAAGGAAGAGGGAGAACCAGCTCTAAGGCAGATGCATCACTGGTTTGATGCAGGAACAGTTGCTCAAAAAACTTGAGAGTTTCCAAAACCTCAGTTTGGAGCCTCAGAAGTTGGAAAATTTTTTTAAAAAATGCATCCACACCAGCTAGAAGATTCTGGGAGCTGTTCGGCCACGGAGAACACTTGCTTCCAGGTTCTGGGTTGGACCCACAGGCCCATCGTTAGGGACTGATGGAAGACGTGAGAAGGTGGAGGTGCTCACTCTGACCCCTGTGTGGACATGCGGGTTGGAGCATTTGGCAGATATTTGGCTTATGGACTGGATTCCCAACTGGTGGAGCGGCAGCGTGTTGAACGGCACCAAGGAAATCTTGGGTTTATTTCATAAACGACATGATGGTTTCCTGCTGGCAAAGGGGTGGTGGTGGTGAGGACTTCTCCCAGCCTGGCCTTTTGCACAACAGAATGAGCAAACGGATCCAGAATTGCTGTGATAACAAGGCTCTGGCTGAGCTGGAAGTCAATGGACAGGCTACAGGGTTGCGCCCTTTCAATGGGCTCCAGGCCCAGAATGTACCCTGATAAGGATCATACGGTCATATTGTGTGCTACGAGACAAAGGGATAATTTGCTTCTTAGGAATAAAGGAAGGTGCTGCCGTGAGCTTCAGCAAGGGAGCTGGTGGGAAGTTAGGGGCAAATATAGTGTTTTATGAAGAGCTAACTGTGGCTAGCTGGCTGGATAGCTCAGTGAGATAGGCTTCTGGCTGTGGAGTCAGAGCCTGGGAATTCGATTTCCCACTTTGCATTCCACAAGAGCAAGCCTGTGTGGCTTTTGGGCAAGCCGCACAGCCCCAGGATGGGAAGGGAAGGGTAAACCACTTCTGAATAGTGTATTCACTCTCTCGAAAACCCTAGAAAGGGTAGCTCTAAGTCAGACGGTACATAGTTATTATAATTAACTGTTGCTACTTTTACATAATTATAATTTCATCTGATATTTTAATCCAGATGGTTCTGCTTTTCCGCTTTTCATTTCATCACTGCATCGCACTGCGCAAGAAACTCATTGATTTCCCTTGGATTTCTTTTCTACTGTACCTTCATTTCGTGGCTCTATTTCCCTGTTTGCCTGCTGTGATTTCAATCAATTTTCAAATTAATTATGCCTGGGAGTAGCCTCAAATCATCTCCGGTTACACCAGAGGCAGTCCCGACACCAGTCAAATCCAGGAGCTGGACAGGGGACAGATGGTGTTTGTCTTCAGGGTGGAAGGGATGGTCACCCAAATTGGCCTCCTCAGCCACACTAGATGCTGTTCCAACTCCTCTATTCAGAGCATGTTCCCATCGTCTCTCGAGACTGAAGGAGGCCTACACACCTTTTGGTGTTCGACTACAGTGGAACCAGTGACCTCGGCAGTGGGTGAGTGCTTCGACACTGGAGGCATTCAAGAAGAACTTAGATCATCAACTGGCAGATCTGCTTTGATTTGTATTCGTGCCTTGAGCCGGGGGGGTTGGACTGGATGGCCTTGTTAGGCCCCTTCCGACGTCACTTTTCTATGATTTCTATGACTTTCCTCACTGGGGCAAATGCCAAACCTCCTATTCCAGCCCTACCTCCTGCTGTCTCCCCAGGGCTTGTTCTGCCGCTTCCTTCTCCGCCTGCAGCCGACTCAGCACCGCCGTCCGCTCCGCCTCGTGCCGGTTCCAGCCTTCCACCACTTTGGCGAGAGTCTGCGGAAAGGAGAACAGAAGGCTCAGTCCCAAAGACAGTGACCAGCAGGACTCCCCAGGGGGAAGACACCCCTTAGCTTGGCGGGGGGAAGAGAAGGAAAGGAGGAGGCCACAGAACAGACTGGCCAAAGTTTGGTCCTCTTGCCGTCTGCGAGCCAAATCCTGCGCCCGTTTCATCCTTTGCTCCACATTTCTGCTTTGGCCATCCTAAGATTTTGAACATCATCCCCTCTGACCCTGGAAATCTTGTGTGTTCTGCAGTGGAACGGACCACCTAAGGGGGCCACGGACCCTTCCTGCTATAAAACAGAGTTTGGAGAACTGGTGGTGACAAATGCTTCAGCTTATGGGTTTCCTGCTTTGGCAAGGGTAGGACGAGATGAGCCTTCAGGCCCCTTCCCACTACAATTCCAAGGTTATTCCTCCAGCTTCATCAACCACTCATGAACGCTTTATCCAAAGACAACTGGCACCAGCCGAGAGATCCTTGTATGAATCCAAAGGTCCAGAGAGGAGAAAATATCTCTTTGAAAAACCAGCGGCCAGGGGTGCGGCATCCGCACCAGGGACAGACGGCCAAGACCGCGTTTCTCCCTCCACACATAAGAGGGGTCTCTGGGGAGCAGAGCTTTCCAACAAAGCCAGCTGTGAAACCTCTCCATGGCCCACCTATTGACCTGCAAAGTGCCACGGCACCTTGCCCACCTGGGCTGCAGCTGGCATTTCTGTGCCACGAAGGCAAACCAGATGAAGAGGTTGGGAGGCAGAAGTGAACGCCACTTTTCAAACATCCCAAACGGCCATCTGGGAACAGTGCTGTTTTGACAGGCAGTCCAGAGGCAGCTGTGGCGGGGCTTGGAAAAGTCACATCTGGGAGAACACGGATATTCTAATCTAAAAAAATAACTTCTCCAACCTCGGTGGAGCAGCATCTGGACACAACCCCCCCCCTTTTTAACTGATGTAAGCCGCCCCGAGCAGACGTTGTCTAGAGGGGCAGGGTACAAATCGAATAAATAAATAAAACCCCCTTCCCAACGTCCCCCTCCCCATTCTCTGGCCGCTGGAGTTAGCAGGGCTTAGAAAATATCCCTTCTTTTGGACAACGGCTCCCCAAATCCCTTAGCCAAGGGGTCCTCAAATCGAATAAATAAATAAATAAATTCCCAACGGCCCCCTCCTCATTCTCTGGCCACTGGAGTTAGCAGGGCTTAGAAAAAATCCTTTCTTTTAGACAACAGCTCCCCAAATCCCTTAGCCAAGGGGTCCTGTGTGTCACCTGCACACAACAGAAGTGCTCGTTCCAACTCAAATGGCCGAAGAAGCCGCAGGGCTTGACAGGAAGCCCCCCGTGGGCCTTGTGGTCCCTTCGGAGTGGCCATCCAGAAAAGTAATTTGGCCATGCTCTGGTCAGGCCCTCCTAGGAGCGCCCAGGGCCCCCCTCCCCCAGTCTCGCCAGAGGTACGGCCAATGCACCACTCAGCTCACCTTGTCCAGCTGCTCTATCATGCCATCTTTCTTCTCATCGGCCGAGACGGCAACGGCCAGCTGCTGCTGAAGCTCCAGGATGCGGTGCTGTAAGGTCTGGATGTGCCGTTCGCAGTGCTGGGAAGAGGGAAGAGAAGCAGGGAGCAGGGAAGGATTCAGTTTCCGGAGAACAACGGCGGCATCTGGTTCGGCAAGGAGTCACCCGCTTAGCAGGGTCATTTATTTATTCGTTATATGGAAAGGAATAGGGCAGGACGGTTTCAACCACCAAAGGGCTGTCCCATGGAAGAGGGAACCTCACGTTCTGCCCTTCTGGAGGGCAGGATCCTTACCACTGGATTCAAGGAACAAAAACAGATGAAGTTATATATTGGAAATAATTTGGTTAGCAGATGCTCTTCCACACTGCTTCAATAGAGGTCAGACTTGACCACCCTTAAGGTCCCTTTCCAGTCCTAAAATGCTGTGATCTTTCCTCTGATGAGCTCAAGGCGGCCCACTATGGCTCCTCGCCTCCCTACAACATCCTGAGGAGCGCTCAGTGAGACAGGTAAGGCTAAGGGATGGTGAGTGGCACAAATTCCCTTAGCCAGTTTCAGGGCAGAGTCTGGATTTGAATCCAACTGTTCTGAGTCCTTGTTTGAAGAACAACGAGGTCTTGTCTGACCCTGGATGTCCAAGCAATGGCTGCTAGAAGTGGGTGGGAGTGCCTAGACCTCCTTTTAGTGCGGAGACACAAGCCTGGGACACCAGAGATCTTCGCGATGGGAGCTGAACACGTGCAGAGTGCTTTTCCCTGACCACTTAGTAACCCAAATCCTGTGTCTCTACTAGGGTCAGAGCAAAGAGACGTTTTACTGTTTCAGACGAAAACTCCACCCTGGCTAGGAGATTCTGGCGGCTGTAGTCTAAAAAAGGTAACTTTTTCAAACTCTGCCCAGGACGAGGCACAAGGAGGAAAAATATGTGGCTGGAAAGCAGAGGCAAGCCACAGAAAATCTCTAAAAATGTATTCCTAGCTGCCCACCCTAATTCTTTGAAAAGGAGAAAAAACTTCTTAACTGTTTGAGCAGTAGGACAGTGGAACCCATGACCTCAGGAGGTCGCGAGTGCTCCAATGACGGGGAGGCCTTCGAGAGAAAATGGGACCATCCTTTGTCCGATCTGCTTGGACTCAGATTCCTACCATGAGCCAGGGGGTTGGACTGGATGGTCTCAGAGGCCCTTTCCAGCTCAATGATTCTATGGTTCTTCTACAATAATTCTTTGCACGGACAATGCAATTTAAGACGTGGTCAAACTCCCGGCTGGCCCTCAGTGGCTCTCAAGCCGATGTTTTGGGGTCTCGAGGTTCCCAGATATATCCACAGGAGCAAAAGGGACATCCAGGAACAGCCATCCAAGGAGGCTCAAGACAAGAGCCAGAAAGCTTACACTTGGTTCCCAGCAACACCTGGGCCAGAGAAGGGAAGGCAGGCGATGGCCTAATAGGCTTAGAGGGCTAAATTCAGCCTCGGGAAGTGAGCCCTCCACCCACCCCTGCAAGCGGCTTAAGCCTCAACAGCAGATCCAGCAAGGTCAATGCTTGTTTGGAGGGGCGCACAGGCTGGGTCTCGGAGAGGCATGCCAGCACCTCCTTCCGGGCGCAGGGAACCCTTTTCTGCGCATCGTCAGCGCAAGGGCCCAGTGCCTGCCTTCAAAACATGGCAGTGAGAGGAAGTAAACAGAAATACAGGCAGAGGCAGAGAGAGAGAGAGAGAGAGAGTAGAATTTGGGGTGGGAAGTGGAGCAGAACTGAACAGGAGCCAGGGGAGGGGGGAGAGGAATCTGGAGGCACATTCAAGCCCATTTCAACACAGAAAACACGCTACTCTGGTCTACACTTCCAGCTGCTTTCAGTCATCGAATGGTGGGCCCAAACTTCTTTGAGGCCAGTTTTGGGAACACGGCTTAACATCTTCTGATTGATCACTACTCTGGTCTACCAGCTGCTTTCAGTCATTGAATGGTGGGCCCAAACTTCTTTGAGGCCAGTTTTGGGAACACGGCTTAACATCTTCTGATTGATCAGATCTTTGCAAAGAATGCTAAACTCTACGGGGTTTAGTTTGATGCTCTGTATTTCAGCAGGAGCAGAGATGGGGAACTGTTGCTTTGGGGTGGGGGAATTAAAACCCTCAAATTACACCCAGCCAGCATGGCCAGGGGATTCTGGTCATTGTAGTTCAAGAAGGAAAGCTTTCTCATCCCGGTCCAAAGAGCATCTTAACAGATGGGATCCTAAGAGGAAACCGTTGCTTTTGTCCGTTTCAAAGGAAAAGGTTAAGTTGCCGGGATGGAGCAGACTTTGCAAAGGGTTTTGGCACTCTTTGGTGAAAAGTGTGGCCAAAGGGTGGGTCTTTCTCACACATTCAGTTGGTGGCTCCAAAAGGAACGGAAACCCAACAGCACACCAGTCCATCAAGGACCCGAGTCAGCCAACAAGACCTTTGGTCAGGCGATAAGCCCTTCACACCATGAAACGAGCCTGAATTCCATTGGCAAAAGAGCCGTTGTTGTTGTTTAGTCATTAAGTCGTGTCCGACTCTTCATGACCACATGGACCAGAGCGCGCCAGGCCCTCCTGTCTTCCACTGCCTCCTGGAGTTGGGTCAAATTCATCTTGGTAGCTTCGGTGACAGTGTCCAGCCATCTCGTCCTCTGTCGTCCCCTTCTCCTCTTGCCTTCACACTTTCCCAACATCAGGGTCTTTTCCAGGGAGTCTTCTCATGAGATGGCCAAAGGATTGAAGCCTCAGCTTCAGGATCTGTCCTTCCAGTGAGAACTCAGGGTTGATTTCCTTTAAAACGGATAGGTCTGCCATAAAAACCATGGGCCGTTGTCCATTTTGCATCTAAATACTCTCATTTGGCAAAACTTTTCGGGAAGGGTGGGGAAGGAAAAGCGGGGCTAAACAGAAGGCTGACGGTCTGAAGGTCAGCTCCCTTTGGCTTTGAGAACCTTACTTCTGCCCTAAACATTTTGACACTTTGATTCGTCACATTTTCTACCCAAGGTCTGAGGAAGCAATTTTTACTCACAAAAGCTTGCATTGAATGTTTGATTTTTAGTGGTCTCAATAAAGGTATCTGCCTCTTCTACTTCTGGATTTCCTGTCCTTTTTTATTTCTCTTGTCACCTTTTGGATGAGATATTTGACCTAGAAAAGCTGTGATTTCTGAAGGCCAAGGTCCTCATGAGAGCAGGAAGTTAGCTTTTAAATACAAAAAAAGGACCATTCTGTTTCTGAATGTGGAGCTGGAGAGGAAAAGGGCTGTGGAGCCCCCTGGACAGCCTGGATGTGGCGAGAGCCTAGGGGTGTTGGACTGGAAGTTCTGAGTCCTCACCAAGCCATGAAATTCACAGGGTGACCTTGCGCCAGACTCGATCCACTTGAGCTCTCTCCTAGCGTTGTTCTGAGGATCATGCAGGGAAGAGGAGAGCCGGGGGGGGGCAGCTCACGGCTCAAAAAGTGGGATAAAAGTGTAATATCCATTTCCCGTGGAGAATTAAAGTCAAGATGTGTAGGTCCTTGTGGAAAGACCGGGCAATCTCTCAAAAGCCTTTTGATGTCTGAGTTCTGCTTCTTTTAACTGCAAATTGCTGCCCAAGAACCTCTCCTAGCGTTTCTTATCTTCCCCTTTATCTCACATTTTAGGCCTTAGGGACAGGCCTCCAGGTTGCTCCTTGAGAATTTGGTCTCTTTGGCTGGGCAGAGAAGGGGCTTCTCCGCCTATGTCGAGTGGAGAGGGGACAGCCACGTGGCCAGGAAGATGGAAAGCTCATTACAGGCCATGGTAGCATCTAAGCCAAGGAGCTTTGCTTAAAGTCGCAGATCACAGGATACCCTCTCTCCCTCCCCGTTACCTTAAGCCCTATCGGTCCATCCTTCCAAGAAGCTTTGGCTTGCCTTGCGCAAACCAGTAATCCCAGCAATTAGGAGGTGTTCAGGTGAGAATGCGGTTGGGCGGACGGGCAGGAGGGGGGGCAGAAAAGGCTGCCCATGCCAACTTGTTAGACTCTGTTTGGACTAGACATAGGATTTGGCCTAATGGGTTTCTCTCTGAAGAAAGTGCAGCAATGGGAAGCGTGACTTTTTGGGATTAAGAGTCCCAGAATCCTTTCGGGCCACACGGCCTGGGGGATTCCGGGATTCTGCAGCCCCCCAAAAAAACCCAAAAATCTAGTGCCATCCCTCAAAGGAACAAATACAGTCACTCTTCTTTGACTTAGGGCAGGGATGTGCAAAATGTTGTGTTCCAGACGTCATGGGACAACTCCGAGCATTCTCCAGCACCAGCTAGGTCTTGTAGGAAAGAAAACAGTCTATCATATCCTGACCCATTTATAACAGCCCCCCAATACCTACTGTATCTGAATCGTTGCTGCAAATTGCAGATGCTTTCAAGAGGAAGGGTGTCTCTGGACCCAACTTGATGAATGCTGAGCTGAGGCCAAAGAATAAGTAGTAGATGGACCGGTTCCAGGGATGAATCAAGGGAGGAAGCATTTCATTCAGGGACAAGTGGCACCGGATGATGGACGCATGATGGACTTACTCAGGTTTCATGCTTTCGTGTCGTTGAACCTTGCTTTGATCGACACGTTATATGTCACCTATAGTTAATGACCTTATTATGTTTATACATACACGAATGTCAATGAACAAATAGTTTGTACCTGCAATATGACAATGATTAAGTAAGGCTACTTGACTGAATTACTGCCAAGACGCCTCTGAAAGGACAATCGGAGAGGCGTGTGATTTGGAAATCCTTCCCCAAGGTCCTCCTGTTCTGCACAGAACCTTACTAATAAACCGAACTCTTAGTTTTACTGCCTTCCTGGGTGTGTCTTTGTCCCCCTTTCTCAGGTAGAGATGAAACTGGACCTGCCAGAGGAAATATGAACCATAGAGCAATTTTTTGCCACAGTCTGACTGGGGACGATGGGAACAGCAGTCCAACTACATCCGAAAGGTCATGTTTTCCCCACCCCTGGTTTCGACTTAAAACGGTCGTGGATATTCTCTGAGCCAATTGGAAGGGGTCAAGACCATGGGTTCCAGGCTCCTTTGCCCACCCATCCGACCTTCAAGCAGGCTTGCCCAGGCCCGCCTTCCTCACCTTCCGCCGGGCCTGCTCTTTGTCCAGAGAGTCCTTCAGGTGGTGGGAATCGACGTACGAGGAATGATGCTCCCGGACGTGGCCCAGGCGCAGGCTGGTGTAGCGAGGGAAAAGCTCCTCCAGACCTCTCAAGGAGCCGGGCGGAGAGATCTCCTGCAGAGGCCGAGCACTGGAGAAAAGACACAAAGGTGGGTGACCATTAGAGAGGGCCAAGGCTCCTTGAAAAGCTGCCACTGCCCCTTCTGCAACCTCCCCTCCTTCGTCGGCAACGCCAGGAAATGCAGGCGGAGAACCCTGTCTTTCCTCACCTGCCAAATCGGATGCTGAATCCCAGGGTGGCCCGAGTTCTAGAACCTGGCAATGGTCCTTATTTTGGGCTCTAACTCTCAAAATGTCTCCCCCTGCCCCTCTTCCTCAGCCAGTGCGGCCAAAAAAAGGATCTTGTCCCAGCTATGCTGAGCTACTTCACTTGCCTCCCTCCGGGGCTGCCCTCTGTTCGGTGGCCTGATCCTTGCCTCTTCTGCAGAAGGCATTGATCGGTCTCTGTGGGGTTGTGAACCCACTGTTTCTTACAGGACCCTGGAACGATTTGGTCTGGGCCAAAGGAGGGTCCCTCCCAATGATCGAGGGAAGAGGGAACTGAACTTAAGAGTAACACTCTGTGTTGCCACTCATGGCCCCGGTTACAAGGACTCCTCCTCGTAGGACAATCCAGGGCCCTCAGCCATGACCGCTCCTACAGAACCACGCAGGCCAGAGATCCAGGAGGAACTCTGGATGGAGAAGGCTGAGGATCCACAGAACTCTTGGGCTCAGAGGCAGAGCAGGGGCCCCTCGCTCAGCGTGGATGCTCAAAAGAGGCAGACCAGAGTCCTCCGAAGGAGTGCTCGGCTGGAGCAAGTGATCTCCTCAAGAGTAAAGGTCTCCTCGTGAGGAGGTTTCTTCCAGACGCTGTGGACAAGTCACAGTGGAGCAGCAAGGGGAGCTCTGATGGCCTGCTTAAAAGCTTCAGTTCCAGCTAGGTACTTTGCTAGCATCTTAACTCTTTCTTCTTGTCTGCTGTGACTAGCTTTCTGTTGGACAAGACAGGTGTGTGAGTACATTTAGACTGCCTTTCATTCTGCCTGTTGCCTTTAATGCATGCCCATTTATTGTGTTTTAATGGGCTGTACCTGTGACCTTGGATCTCAATTCTGAGAGAAAGATGACATATAAATGAAATGAAATAAACAAGCAAATAAAACAACACACACACCCATATGTTATTAGTCTGTGAGGATTCTTCTGCTTTTACTTTGAGAATCTGACATACTTATTTACTTATTTAAAATATTTTTACCCCACCTTTCTCCTTAAAAGGGACCCCAAAGCGGCTTACATCGTTAAAAGACTTCCTCCAGTCCTAATCTCGTTGAAAAGGATGCCCATGAACCTCAAATAAGCAACAAGCACAGGGAGATTTAAACAAGGGTAGCCCTACAGAGGAGGGGCAGGATCTGTTCTCGATCATCCCAGAATGCAGAACATGTCATCATGGGCTCAAGTGACAGGGAGCCAAATTTAGGCTGACTATCGGGAAAAACTTCTTAACTGTTGGAGCAGTACAAGAATAGAACCCATGACCTTAGGGGGGAGAAGAAGCGCTCCAACGCTGGAGGCCTTCAACAGAAAACCGGACAACCCTCTGTCAGATCTGCTTTGATTTGGATTCCTGACTTGAGCAGGGGTTTGGACTGGATCGCTTTATAGGCCCTTTCCAACTCCATTATTCTGTGATTCTATAGATTTCATAGGTCTTGAGAGAACATACTAGCTTATGATTTGTATGTACCTCCTCCTCTGCTGACAAACCACAGCAGGTTAACCAGACCCACACAGCGTTATTTTATGGATTCTGACTTTCTGAAACCACAGCTTGTTGTGATGTCCAACTTGGCCACTGTGGTTTGTCCCTCACTTGTCCCCCCCCCAGCTGCTCATTCTAAAGCGAGAGCTTTGAAAAGGGGTGGGAGTGAAGCCAACGGGAAATGGGAAAGACAAGCTGAGACTGGCGGAAATCCACTGTGCAATCCATAGCTTAAGCAACAAACCATGGAAGGCGGTACTAACACTCCGATAGCAGATTGCTATTTTATTCACCACCACAAGTGCACCCTGCAGAATTGTTGGGGTCTACAATCTGACTGTGGTTGCAACCTTTGAGTGCTCTAGTAAAGCAATCATAAATCCCGGGATTCTGCAAGATGGAGCCATGACAGTTAGTGGACAATCACGTGATTTAACACACACCATAGTTTGCTGAGGTGTGCCAAAAGCAACCGCTGTGTGAATCAGTCCTAAAACAACCATAAAGGGACACAAAGGTCTCCCAGCTGTCGTTGCTAAAACCCACCCACAATTCTGTTTTAGACAGGGATTCTTTTTTAAAAAAAATGCCTCTCCCTCTGGGAAATGAAAGCTGCAGTAGCTCAGCCGCTCCTCACTGGGCTGCAGCACAGACCCATCCAGGGTGTTGGAAGCTCGTTAAGATAATCTTACTTGAGCAGGGCGGTTGTGCTGTCGCTCTCAAAGGAATCATCATCTTTCCGCTCAAAGTTCCCCAGTGGCACAGCGTCCCCTGCAGGGAGAGAGGAGGAAGTTGTTATCAGCAGGCTTGGAGGAGGTTTTAGGGAGAAGCAGCTCCCTCCTCTCTTTCACCACAGCTGGCACAGAACAGCTGGCGGAACAGAATCAAACAGGGAGTGTTCCCGATGGTTCTCTGGAGGTGTCCCACAAGACTGGTACCATTTATTTATGTATGTATTTGTCTTGCTTATAGACAAGGGACTCAAGGCAGCTCACGGTATTGAAAAGAAATGAATTAAGTTATACATTGAACCTCAAGCAAACTGTTGGGATTAAAAAATCAGCTCTCCTGTTTTCCTGGGTGTTCACATCAAGCTGGGTTTTGCCAAGAAAGCACAATTTCAGTATCTGGACTGGAGTATCTGGAAAAGTTATTGGTTTGGGACAATAACTTTCTGACCCCTCCCAACTAGCACAGCCTGGCTCATGGGGGAGCCTTGGGGGTTCTTGGCCCAAATGAAATTTCTCCAAGCTCGGGAATGATTTCTGCTGGGCAGCTTCCTGTTTATTACTATTAAATCTGGGTTTTATCCCAGCCACCAGAAAGCTCCAGAGATCTTGTGGGCATAAATGCCCACAGGAAAGCTTCCAGTTTCATGGCATGAAGAGGAATAGCAAGCTAATGCCGAACTCCAAGCATGGAACTGATTTCTGCTGGGCAGCTTCCTGTTTATTACTATTAAATCTGGGTTTTATCCCAGCCACCAGAAAGCTGCAGAGATCTTGTGGACATAAATGCCCACAGGAAAGCTTCCGGATTCATGGCATGAAGAGGAATGGCAAGCTAATGCCGAACCTAGCCATTTGAAAGCATGTAAGTGCGAGTAGATAAACCAGAGATCTTGTGGGCATAAATGCCCACAGGAAAGCTTCCAGTTTCATGGCATGAAGAGGAATAGCAAGCTAATGCCGAACCTAGCCATTCGAAAGCATGTGAGTGCAAGTAGATAAATAGGTACCACCTTGGTGGGAAGGTCATGGCGTTATGTGTCTAGTCGCGCTGGCCATGTGACCATGGAAACTGTCTACAGACAAACGCTGGCTCTACAGCTTGGAGATGGGGATGAGCACCGCGCCCTAGGGTCGGACACGACTGGACTAAATGTCAAGGGGAACCTTTACCTTTACATAAACTTTAGATCTGTCAACAGACGTTCTACATTAACAACCCCAGCTGCTGCACCATTCCTGTAGGCTCTGTGTGGGAAACACAGGCAAGACCTTCCTAGCCATTCCAGCATGCTAAGCTTTTATCAAAGTTAAATAAATCTTGGGCTTTCCCAATTTTATTACATTTTTCTAATCACTTTGCCCCTGCTATATATAAACGCTGCCTTTTAACTGCCTCTGGTGCTTTTAGTTTGTATTTATACTGTTTGTTTTGCAAGCCAATTCAGAGTTTATCTCCTGGGGAACAAATACATCTAGATGTATCAGTGCTGCCAGACCCTTTAAAGATGATATGTGTTGACAATGCATAAGAAGAGAAGAGTTTCATTCCCGGTATAAAACAATACTGGCACAAACAGTTACTTTAGCTTTGCAAGTCTTTTTCTAAGGCAGTGGTTCTGAAACTGTGGAACAGTCTTAAACAACAGGTCCCGGCATATGTTAAATGGCCCCTAAATCTACTGTGAAAATGAAAAACACTGAAGAAAAGAAGGCTTGTATTTTTACCAAATGTGGAAGAGACCAGCCTTCAGATTATACTGCAAAGCAGTTTGCCTTTTCAGCAACAGAAGCTGGGAAGTATGGGAAATGATGCCCCCAGGCCTCATCCAGCTGGGGAGCAGCTCTCCCCACAAGGACGGGCATAAGTTTACTCACTCCGAAGTCCTATATCTTACCCTGAGCGGCGTCCCTGGTCCCCCGAAGCATGCTCTGTAAGTGGCAGCGCACATTCTCCATCTCTGTGATGTGACGGGATTCAGCGACGGCAGCATCCCCACCACCCTGCAAGAGGAGACAAGCCCTGTTTATTTTTCTGTGCATGGCTGCCCCCCCGGACTGAAGCACCAACCAGTAACATGGCAAGTGGCCACCTGCCCCCCAACTATTCTCTTCAGCCCCCGCCCCTGTTCTTCACACTCTCAACTAACATGCTTCCCTTAAGTGGATAAAGGAATTTACAACTATCACTTCCATCTGTTTCTTTTATTTGAATTGGGCCGGGGTGGGGGGGTGGGGAGGAGTGTCTTGTCTTTTGCCTCAGGCATCAAAATGCCTTGGACCACCTCAAATCCTATCTCTCCTCACAGCCTCTCTCTTGCCTCCTCCATCATCTTTTGCAAGAGGATGCAGAAACAATAGAAGATTTCTGTCGATTCAAACTCTTGGCCCATCCCTGACTGTTAGCCATCACTCTTCAGAGTGGTCATTTCAACCAGATAGGCAGGAAATAAACAAACAAACAAACAAACAAACAAATTCTAAGCCAGATTCCTGCCTAGACTCACAAGGCCTCCCATACTGGTATTAAGCATGCGCTCTCCTGCTTAGTATTGGAAATGAGCCGAGATCAAGTACAATCAAAATGACACGGTGGTCTCTCTTCTGATAGCCCTTTCAGCAAAATGCTATGAGACGAAGGTAGCCTTGAGGCAGGACTAATGATTGAACTAAAGGGCTGAACTGACACAGGACTTGATTAATGTTATTTTAAAAAGCCAAGCCATCTCCTGCTTCCTGTACGGCTTCCTCACCTTTCTGTACGAGCTGGTCTCCACACCGGTCGAAAGCCGATGGCTCAGTTCTTCAGCCAGAGTCTCCAGATCAATGTCAGTGGTCTTAGCTTCCTCGGCCAAAGACAAGCTGCGCTGGTTCTCCAGGTGGGAGCGGGCCTGAGCCTCCGCCTGCCGGCTCTGGTGCAGAGAGGCATAGAGCTGGGCCGTCACTTTGGAGGTATAGGGGGTGGCCGATGGAGAACGAGGCATCTGATGCGCAGGGGAGGTGGGTTCTGAGACCGGCAGAAGCTCCATGTCGCTCAACAGATCTTCGCTGTGGATGGAAGACGCCAGCCCCCGACTGGTGTTCTTCTCTGCCATGGAAAAGGGTTGGGAGTCCACAGCGTTTCCTCCGCCTAACTGGCCTGCAGGTGTTCTAGGCTCAGAAGCCCGGGGTCTCTGTCACAATGGAGGATCTCATGACAACATGTTCCCAAGGAAAAGGAAGGGGTTTTTATGTGTGTTGATCTGTTGTGGAGCAGATGCTGTGAGAAGTTGCTTTGTTTGGTGTCACACGGGAAACGGAGTAGACATGACGTCATCCTAACTGGTCCCTAAAAGATCAGGTTTCAGCCCAAAGGGTACAAAAGTTAACAGAGGGCAACCAAGAAAAATGCCGTTTATATCAAGCCACCGGTGGACCTCAACTGAAGCTGCTGAGATCCCACCACCCAACTGAAACAGCTCCAGATGAGGGTTAAATGAATCTGCAGGCAACCGGGCAATCAACGACTGCTGCACTGGTCACAGCGCTAAAGTTCTGCAAGCTACCTGGCGCTAAATGGCGGAAATCCCGTTGCTTAACATAGTTGCACGAGAGTAGATCCAGCTTAATCAATGGGGATTTGGTCAGGCAACTCCTCCACAAATTCCACTGATTCAAATGGGCCTACTCTAGTTGTGACTTACTCAACCATGAGTGCTCCCTGGAAGGTCAGATCCTGAAGCTGAGGCTCCAATACTTTGGCCATCTCATGAGAAGAGAAGACTCCCTGGAAAAGACCCTGATATTGGGAAAGTGTGAAGGCAAGAGGGGAACGGGACGACAGAGGACGAGATGGATGGACAGGGTCACCGAAGCAACCAACATGAATTTGACCCAACTCCGGGAGGCCGTGGAGGTGGGGTCTGATCCATATGGGCTCACGAAGAGCCGGACACAACTAAACAACAAGAAAAGTCACAAGCCGAGTAGGCCCATTTGAATCAATGGAAATTACAGCTGGCTCCCCAAATCCCTACTGATTCAATAGGCCTACTCCAGTATGACTTACTATGCTAATCAACAGGATTGCAGCCTACATGTATCGTTACTGGCGAACAGTTCAGTTTTCCTCAAAATACTGTGCCTCCCTCACCTTTTCCAAACCCTTGAAGGCGCTGCTAGGAATTGTTGGCCAGGAATGCATGGAGTCCATAAGTTATCCCATGTCAAAGCCTTATTCTCATTTTAAAAAAAAATCCACTTTACCAGCTCCAGGAAAAGTTCCCTGGAGCAGAACTACAAATCCCACAATGCACTCTCCCGAGGGGGGGCACGGCATTCTGGGATTTGTAGTTCCGAAAGGAAGTCCCTCCAGTTGCACACCTCCCCGCATTCCATTCCTCACCTCCCGCTTACCTCGTCGAAGCCCCGCCCAC